ATCATTTTAGAGTAGTGAGTTGTTTCCCTCAGCTGCAGGTGGGCACTACAGTATTGTAGACCAAGATTTAAAGTCCTACACCTGAGTAGCACTTTCTGGTTAGGAACAAAATCACCAATGAAAAATAATTGTCTAAATAACTTTTTATATAGACTTAAGCCTAATGTCTGGGAAGTGTAATCCCTTGAACTTTTAAAAGAAATATAATGATGACTTTACTTTTTGGTCATACTTTCCTTTTGGGTATTTAAGACCATATAGTTGGCCCAAATAAATCAATTTATTTTTACATTTAAGGTCATTTGAGGATCCATTCCTCAGCCACCATTTAATTTTTAGATAAGAATAATAACAGGTTTGTCTTTTTGGCTGCAGGTAGCACTGAGATGTTGAAGTAGGCCAAGATCTAAAGTCTTATATCTGAGTAGCATTTTTTTCAAGGAGAAAATTTTAGTGAGAATCTTTTAAATAATACATCATACTAACTTTTAAGCCTAAGGTCTGAGAAGTACAATTTCTTGGACTCTAAAAGAAGCATATTATTTTAATATTTGGTTATACTTTTCCTTTTGGGTGTTTAAGATCATGTAGTTGGCCCAAATAAACCAATACATTCTTACCCTTAACGTCAGTGGGGATCTGATCCTCAGGGGTCACATGGACTTGGGAGGAGCCTCTGGCTCTTTTAGGTCTTTCTTTTATCATTCCCATCTATGTGAAGATAAGTCAGAATCCTTGCTGGGCCATGGTTTCACTTGAAAGCTTTGAGGAAATGTTTCCTCTGTGTTGACATTTCCTCTTTATAGATTGGACACTGGTTCAGGTTTACCTGGTGGGGTCTCCATGGCCTCCCTGAACAAGACTACAGGTGACTTATCATAGTTACAGGACATTTTGAGAGATACTTCATAGTCCCCTGGAACTTAGTCAACCTTGGAAGGCAAGGAATAAAAAAAATGTCCTTTTAAGTTATTAAAAGGTTATTAAATAGCCAAGAAGACCAGTTACACCAGTCTGGGACCTTTAATTACTGTGTAACATGTAGATAAAGCTTGAACAAAGAACTCAAACATTTTAAAAAATAAATCTTGATAGATACACATTTTGTTTTTTAAGTTAGTCTTTTATAAGAATTAATTTAAGGTTTGAATGAGGTTTGACCTTGGAAAATTTAAAGTTACTTTAGTAGATTTAGGTACATAAAGGGCTATCCACATAATGTAGGAAGAGGGGCCTAATTCAGAACAAAGAGAGATTTAACATCATAGGTTAATACCAAAAATGACAGTTGCATAGGTAAGTTGCATCCTGGAACAGAAGAATTGCACCTTACACTGAATCTTCTGCAATAACAAAGAACTGATTAGAGTTTTAATAATTGTGGAGAAATTTGAATATTATAAGCCCAGACTCTAATTACAATTTATCTTCAGCCATCTTTAGTCATTTAATAGTCCCCATTAATAGTCATTTATTACCCACCCCTGTATGGGACCTCACATCTTTGTGACCATTAAGGTAAATCCTTTGGAAAGTAGAAACAGACTACTATGTTTCACCAACCAAAAGGCTAAGAATGCTGTCAGATAGCATCTGAGGCTATCTGAGTTGAGATTTCCCCCACCTAACTGCAACCTGCCTACCTGATGCTTCAAGCACTATATTTTTATTTACTTATGTATTTTAAGTGAATGAATGTTCTGCATGTATGTAAGTGTACCCATGTGTGCAGTGCTGGTGGATGTCAGAGGAGGGTGTCAGATCCCCTGGAACAGGAGTTACAGATAGTTGTTAGCTGCTGTGTGGGTGATGGGAACCAAACCCAGGTCCTCTGCAAGGGCAGTAAAAACCTTCTTTCCAGCCCCAGGCACCAATGTATTTTAAATGTCTTGACGTATTATTTTCTTTGTTCGGTTACTATAAAAATTTCATGAAATTGCTACGACATTGGAACACAATTTGCGGTAACCTAAATCTATGTTCCTGGGCCATGGTCATTCATATTTGGCACCAGAATAAGCTACCTCCTTTAGAAAAAGAAATTGGAAGTGTACTGTTCTAAATGAAATGGCAAAACTAACTCCATTTCGCTCTACCTGATTTTTGCTTTACCTTGTTTTTGCCCAGCCATCCCTACTGCAGTCAGCCAGGTAGAACATCTCATACAGGCAACACAATTTTAGGGAGTACATTATATCTAAAATACTGGGAAACTTAGAAGTGACCAGGTAGCATGTTTGGATAGCACGTCCTCCTTCCCAGCTATACCTGCATCTGTATGAAGGCCATTGTTTTCATAATTCTGAGAAACTTATTTTTTCCTTATTGAAACTTTGTTAACTGAAAAATTCTTTGTTAACTGACCTGCCCCTGTTCTGGTGTAACCATGGCGATCTGATGAAACTATGGTTTTAAGCTCTATAAACCCTGCCCTGCTTCTCCTCAGGGCCTAGACTTCTCTTGGGCATTAGCCCCATCTCTGACTGGGGACTACTAATTAAGGACTCATAATTCAACCATTACTATGTGTTCCTCTGTGCATCTCATTCAGATTACATTAATAACGACTTCTTCCTAGCTAACTGAAGCTTGTTTCTCCCTTACACATCTATAAATGCAGTCATCATCTTGTTTCAGTGTTTTGGAGCAGTATATACCTCCCACCAGAAATACTCTATTTCTCTAAAACTTTTTATGATAATTGCCAAAGTCTAGGGATATTAAAATGCAAATCACTGCATGAAAACAGCTGACCAAACTGACCCCAGCCTCTCTTAAAATACCTAACAAAGATCATCTATTTTTGTCAATATAAAATGAATGGTCTCTAGATCTCCCATTTCTTCTTTATTCCCCTTTCCTTTGTCTTTTCCTTCCATTTCTTTCTCTGGAACACAAGTTTTCAAGCAGCCTTGGCTGGTCTCAATTCCCATGTAGTTCAAAGTGTCCAAAATGAACCTTTTTTTAATTTTCTTTCCCTGTAGACCCTGGGTCAAACACAGATCTGCCTGCCTTCTGCCTCCTGGTAGTACTGGAACTAAATGACACAATTTCTGAATTGCAGGAGTCATAAGCCTCATCAGGGAAGCCATAAATCCCTTAAAGTGGCTAACTGGTCTTAAATTGGCAGGGTAGCCTTGCACAAGCCTTATCAACTGGTCACTCCCAGGACTAAGGGAGACTGTTTATGGAGCCAACCGTCTCCTTTAGTGCCCTAAGACAGCTCACATCCCTGAGAAAATAATCTTGGGAGAGAGACCCTCTATCACCCAAGGACACCAGACCCTGGCACCAAGTTAACTCCTGCAGCTGTGTTCAACAGAGTTCCTATATAAGTCCAAACTGCTCCTCCCTTCAATGCAGAGGCTTTATTTCCTTGGTAAGGCGGCTGTCCTTTGCTGTGATTTCTGAATAAAGGAACGCATTCCCTGCCTGTTGAAGGTCTGGCTCTGACTCATTTCTAATCTCAAAGCTCCTTCCTTTTTCTGGTCTCCTAAATCTAATACTAAAAAAAGGCTTCTGCTATCATGCTGGGAGTGTCCATGAAGGCTTTATCTTCCTGCATCCATCTCCCAAAGTGCTGGGATTTACAGGTATGCACAGTCAAACCTGTATTGGACCTCTTTCTTAGCAGCAGTTACTAGAAAGGACTTTACAATTTTAACTATGTATCTCTTACCATTCAGTACTTTTTCAAGGGTCTCAGAGGCACACCTTTCAAGAAGGGCAAAGCCTTTGTTTCTCTGAGTTGCTGTAGGTTATCTATGGTATATAAAATGCAGTATTACTGGCCTAAGATCATCTACACCGACTAGGCTGTAATTTTAAGTTCTCTGATTATGGCACATGGACGCTCCTTCTTTTAAAATATCGAAATTACGTCTGTATAACTAGGAACAGACCAAAGCACATTCCACTATTGTTTGTAGTTACTAAAACGTTTCTACCACTTTATCTTTGACATGATCTACCTAAGACCTAATTTTAGGCCTTTCTCTGGGACAAAACTATTCCAATCTTGCTGCAAAATGGACCTCTGCTTTTATCTAATTTCCAGTTAATACCTGTTATAAAATTGGTACTGGCACAGAATTTTAAGCTTGCTGAGCTTTAAAAAGACTAACATTCATGGTATCCACTACATAGCTATATTTTTTAAATTACAAACTACTTCCTTCACGCCCCAGTAAATCTCAAACCTAAAAAGGCCCAGCCTTCTTTACTTTTCCCCTTTTCTTTATCCTGGTCAAATGGCTTCCTTCCCTCCCCTTCTTCCCACGTTTACAGTGGGACAGAGTAAGAAGGGATTAAGGGACTCCCTTTCCTAGTCTAAACCCTGCCCGGCAGAAAGGTCAACCAAGAATATCACTAACTTGAGACCTTCAGCAAGCTCCTGAAGTTTAGGGGAAAAGTGAATCTGGCTGGAAAAGGCGGGACTTCCGGAGCCGTGGGAGCAGTTAGGGGAGCCCCAGGAGCGCCGGGAGAGGAAGGCCTGGGTGAGTGCAGAGCAGGACGCCTAGAGGAGCGGCGGGGGAGCTGGCTGAACCCCTGGGAGCGGAAGCGGGCTGAGGCCGAGAGAGGAAGCCGGGGCCAGAAAGGTGCGCGGAGCGGAAGAGGGTCGCGCGGAGCGGAAGCGAGACCGCAGAAGGTGGAGTACGGGGAGTGGAAGAGGGTCTCGGGAAAGCGGAAGGGGTAGCGAGGTGTGTGGACGGCCGGCCGTCAGGCTCCGCCCTGGAAAAGCCCTAGACTGTCGAATAGGGAGATGAGGAGCGCCTTTCCCCGTGAACCGCGAGCGCAGGAGCGCAGGGCCGCGCCTTGAGTTACCGGGCAGGCGCACTGCCCTCTACTGGCGCGGGAAGGCAGTGCCGGCCACCGGAGGGCTCCCGAGGTGCTGAAGGGCGGTGGGAAAAGATGCTTATGAGTTTTTCAGAGAACATGTAAATACAGCGGCGTTAACATTTTCAAAGGACAAGGTGGCTTGATTTTGGTGCACAAAATGAATTTCTGAATACTTTCGAATTCCCATGAAAACTTAATGCTCCTTGGGAGAGCCGTAATAGTCGTACACTTGTGTACTCAATTATCTTGCGAATTTGAAACATTTCCTATGTATTTGGTGCAGCCAACTTTCCAAAAACGAAAGAGCAACCCAACCTTTGGCATGTGTTAGTTAGATATATTCCCACTCTCGGGCTCCTTCTCCCAGGCCCTGTTATTTACCAAATCACAGATGAGTTTCTGGCTGAAAAGATTTCCCAAGAGGTCGTCTAAATCAATACTTTTATCTTAGCTTAATGTGATTCCATAATGTGTTACCCTCTAATGTGCTCTGGGTGCTACAGGAATTGAGACATGGGCAAGATAATAGAAGACTGCTTTGACGAATTAGGGCTTTGTTGATACGAGACTGGGGCATAGAGAGATTTAATTGTGAAATCTGCTGAGGGGGAAGAGGCGTGGCTACTGATAGGGTTCAGATCCAGGTGACCCCAGACCTAGAAACCATAAGGCCTCTAAGAGGAACTGAGTCTACCCAGCCACCTGCAAGTTAATAAAAACAGCTCTGGGAAAATTAATGACCAACGTATTGTGATCACCGGAGCATGCTCCACAGGCTAACAAACAGGTTTCCCAAACCCTTAGGTGTAATTAATTCCAGGACCCCTGTAATTATAGAAAAACATGTTTTACAGTAGATGTTTTCCTTGATAAGCTTCATCAGGTACAGACCCCTACACCCTCCAGGAGCAAGCAGCCCCTCAAAACAGTCCCAGGCAGCAGAAAAATATTCTTTTTTTTTTTTGGCATTCTACCCTTTTATAAGCTACCCCCCTGCAGCCATTAGGCGGCTAGTTCTTCCTCACACCAGCCCTGCCAAACCCAATGAAACGCTCTCTTTGCCAGAGTCCCTCTTTGTTTCTGTTTCGTGGCGATCCTGACCCCCACCACCTTTTTATCTAACAGCTACAAAATAGTTTTTGTCTTGATATCTTATTGGTCTCTTACTTGAAAAATGATCAGCTCATGACCAATTGGGATGCATAGAGTGATCATCATCCTAGTAAGGGAAACCTGCTTGTAAGAAAGCATGTAGCTGAAAAGGGATGTTAGAAGAATGAACTGGATAAATGCTGAGTTGGCCAGCAATCAGATTCGTAAACCTGTGTATAGAATTTGTTTTAAGAAAACTATGATTGAAGATTACTATTTGGAAGCATAATTTTAAGTGCTCCAAATGCCTTGTTGGCAGCTAAATTTGGTAGCGCAATATGCCAAAAGTAGTTAGGATAGTGAGGGTATTGATGACATAGATGGTGATAGTGCAGATGAGATTTTATGTAGCCTACCAAGTTAGAGGAGATGACTTGGAATTACTCTCTGAAATAACAAAAAAACATAACAGAGAGGTCATATGTGCTGATATTTGAAACGATAGAAAACAAGGATTTGAGGAAATGAATGTTATTCGTTTTCACTGGGTGTGGGTGGCATGTAATGAAACTTGAAAGGGAGTTGATTAATCTAAAGTTGAAAACTTGAGAAACAGGTTACATATTCCAGTCTAAAGTCCCTTTTGGATTTCCTTTGTTTACTACCTTAAACTAATTTCTTATTAAATACAAAGTTGTATTAGATTCTGGATTTAAGACCCTTTAATAGAACAACTATAGTATAGAAATTGAAGAGTGAAACCTTTGGTGTCAGATGGCCAGAAGGATATCCTTCCTTTCATCCTGTGAGCTTGCTCAGCTGGCCTAGTATGTTTTGTACTAGTACACCCAAGCAGCCTGTATGACAAATTTTAGAGGTCTGTGCCTCTAAATGAAATGCCTTAGAACATTTTTATTGTCTTGTGTTGATGATAGCAAAGTAAATACAGATTATTTACTTGCTTCTATGACAGCACCTGAATCTTAAGTGCTATAAACTTGTATTTTCAGGTATTACCAGTGGTTCATTGATGTCTCTAATACCTTGTCCTCTCCTTAGCGCCTAAGACATTCTGTATTTTACTGTGCGAATTTAGAGTTGAGATGAGAGCATGTATGATAAACTGTTACCATTTTTTTTAGTATTGGGTTCCTAATGTTTCGGTCAGTGGTCTGGCAGGCTTAAATAGTATCCTTGAATTTTTCTGCTACTACTGCGGTACAGTTAAAGAATGTAGGATGAGAAGAGAAAAGAAAGAACAGTATTAGGAGAGGCATAGCATGAGGGAAGAATGAGAGAAAAAATATGAATTAATAGAAGAACGGATACATGGCATATTAGAAGGCTTTATTGAGGAAGTATGCATTTCACAGATCCAAGTTTCCTAATGTGGCAAAGTACTACTGTTACAGAAAGATCTAAGTGTTTAATGATTTAAAGATATGGGGACATAGATCTGATAGCATTCATATTAAGTGTGCTAGAGTTGTCAGATGTTGGATGGAGAGACAATGTATTTGACAGAGCAGAAAGACCCCTTATAAATGAAAGTAAAATATTGATTCTACTAACCTATAGTAAAAACTAAAAATGCTAATGGTTTTATAAGACTTTACGCCATATTTTATAGTTTAATTTCTTGGTCTTTTTCCTAAACAAAACATTATGAAAAACATAGATATTTAAATATCTATGTAACTCCTTATCAAGTTTCTTTATCATTTTTATTTAAAGATATGATCCGTGTGGACATCAAAACTTTTGCTCTAAATCAATGTTGTTAATTAGTCATCTCTTTATATTTGATCTTGCCCAGAGGCCCAGAGGCACATGCACAGAGCATATGTAACCCATGGGAAAACAAGCCTTGGCTTACTATGTTTGGCTCTGAAGCTATAGGTTACCCAGTTTTGTAAGTTGAGATAGTAAGTCATCTTGACAACTTATTTTTTTGTAAACCAGAAACAGGTCAACAGAACCCTGATATGTACTCTCTGTGGCTCTCTTACAGGGAGAGATTAAAGATAATTACAGGTTTCTTTTTCTAATATATGAAGGATAGTATGCAGAGCAAAATTGGCCAGTAGAGAGGAGAAGAGAGGACAGAATTAACCAGATCAAAGAAGCAGTACCAGTGGAAGCAGGCTCACATTATTGTCTTTTACAGAAACAAGATCACAGTCTTCCTTTGGAAAGGTAAGTGAGGAAGACAGAGATCAAGACTGGTCAATAAGAGCTGGGTGTGATGATTCATTCATACTTTGAATCTCAGCACTCGGGAGGCAGAAGCAGGCAAATTGCAGCCAGCCTGGTCTACATAGCAAGTTCCAGGCCAACTGGAGCTACAGGGAGACCCTGTCTCAAAAAGAAAGAGAGAGAGAAAAAGGGAGAGGGAGGGAGGGAGGGAGGGAGAGAGAGAGAGAGAGAGAGAGA